TTTTGTAATCCAGCACTGTTGAGCTGAAAACAAAGGGAGGAAAATCCAGGAGTTCCCCCTTCTCTGGTATTTGAAGCACAGAAACATGACTGGATGTAAATGACTTCTGTTTGTGTCTGAAGCTTGTAGGCTGGAGATGGTGGCTCAGCTGCCTTTCTGCACTGCTTCTGACCACACTGCCATCCTCCAGCTTCCTCAGAATTTAAGACTGTGCCTTTTTATCTACAGCAGTATTTTCCCCGCAGATTTTAATAATTAATTGGGACAAGCCTGGTGGGTCTGGAGATGAGCACAAAAGAGGCAGCAGATCCGTGTGACCAAGTGACCTTTTGCTGTCCTGCCAGTCCCTGTGCTCTCCTGTGCTCAAAGGGATGCTGTCAAAATTGCTAGCCCTTAAAGCTGTAACTTGCTCTGACAACTTGTTCTACATTATAAGTCTTACCTAAAAGATTACCACAATTGTTTTGTTTGTTTTGTTTCAGCAGTCTTTGCTGAAGGCTCCGCAATGTAGATTCGTTTGTCTTTTTAGGTAGGTAGATATTTTTAAGCACCCAACTTCCTCTCTGGCCTGTTAAAATCAAGCTGGTGTGCATGTTATTGTGCACAGCAGAGGCTGCCAGGGATGGCACACATTTTCTGCACTCTGGAAACAGAGGCAATGGCACACTGTGGAAGCCTTTGTTTAAAAGGTTTTTAGAAGCCATTTTAAAAGGCCTGCAGTTATTTTGGGGCAGCATTAAGTGTTGTCTGGACTTTCCTGGCAATATTAAGAATTAGGTACTGGTCTGTTAAGTGTAAGGAGGGGATGTCCAGATGATGTCTGCGTTCAGGTCAGTTTGAGTTATTCCTTAGGAATTAGTTCTACAAGAACTCCATTTAATGCTGTTCAGCATGAAAATGTGAATCAGGGCAAGCAGTCCAGGTACATTTGTAGCATCACACTTCCTTATTTTTACACAGCAATACAGAGATGGATACAACTCCAGTGTAATTGTGAGTAGTGCTCAGCCATGCTGGCATCACGCAGCAGGAGCACGAATGGCCATATCTAGCAGGGAAGAGGGAATGAACAATGTCCACCTACCACACTCCAGGTAACTCACACCTCCAGTTTTAAGCTTGATTTGAGCACTTTTACCACTTCCTGTCTGAAATTCTTTACCTTGTTCCAATTGCACCTGTATCACCTGCACTTGAGATGCTCTCGTTGCCCTGAGCTACAGCACCCTCCTCAGAAGCACACTGCAGAGGCAGCAGCAGTGCCCAGAGCACATCACTCCCACCCTGCAGCAGCAGAGCTGCTAGGAAGGCACTGTGTCAAGCCTTAGCCCCACAAGCAGCAAGGTCAGAGCCCCTTTAAAGGTGACCTGGGATAGAAGGGAGTGCATTTGTCCCTTTTTGATGGATAAAAAGACCTAAGAAAATCCGTTCTTCCTATGTTTTTCCATCTTTGTTTCTGCTGAAGGTCTGTGGCATCTCCTTAACTTCCAGAAAGATTTTTGAACTGAGCTGAAGGGGATGATTTTCTAGTCATTTTCTAATGTCACAGGTCTTGATTCTCTCCATTCAGCACTCTCCCACGTGCAGTCATCCTAAAGGGAAGTTAGGTATGAACCTGTCACCTGCTTGAACAAGTTCTTACAGAGCATGTTCTGGAGCAATGCTCCACCTCCAGGGGGTCCAAACCCCCCTTGTTCATCGAGCTCTGTAACCTTTCAGCCAGCATACATGGATGTTCTGAGCAGATGCAGAGCACTGTGATGCACACGGGAAATGATTCTCTTGGCTGCAAACTGCGAATGCAAGGGCTGGTTTCACTTTCACTCTGGAGATGGCATGGGGTTGGTAACACTTTGTTCATCTCTAATTGGGGGGTTGGACTCGATGATCTCTGGAGGTCCCTTCCAACCCAACCATTCTGTGATTCTGTGATTCTGTGAAAACCTTTCTCCACATACAGTAAAATAGGAAGTTATGCTCTTCTCAATACGGTTTTCCACCTCTAACTTCTTTTGGGATTTCTTGTTCTGGAAAAAGTGTTTCAGGGCTGACTGGAGATATTGTAAGCATAGCCTAAGTAAGAATTACTACCTGATGTTTTTTCTCTGCTACTTTCTGCCAGTGTGAAATGAGAGGTTGCAATCTAGGGGAACAAGGAGCCTTGATGGCACTGCTGCAGTGGCTGCCATCGTTACATCCCTGTGCAGGCACTCCTACACCATTACCCATTGCTGCACTGCATTCCATGCTGTATCAGTGCCTGTGGGCTGTGTGCCTCAGAGCAGGGCTGTGCTTAGCAGAGAGCTGTGGCCTCTGCTGGTGGCCTCCTCTGGCAATGTCCTCCCAGCACTGGAAAGGTACAAGAAGAAACCTGCTGTTATTCAGACTGAATGCTGTTGAATTTAAGGGATGAGTTCAGTAGAGAAAGCTAACGGGTTTTTAATCTCTTGGGGCAAAGTATGTATACAAATGTTGCCAACTTTCTAAAAACGTTTTCTCCTGGAAGTGATGGCTGAAGCACCGATCTGGAAGGAGGTAAAAGGGGAGGAAATGGGAGCAGAAACGCAGCATTTGCTGTATTTGTAGGACAGAGCGGGAGAATACCAAACTAAGTCGCGCATTGGTGGTTCAGTGGTAGAATTCTCGCCTGCCACGCGGGAGGCCCGGGTTCGATTCCCGGCCAATGCAGCGGAAACCTTTTGTTTTCTCTCTGTCATTTTTCTCTTCCCTTGCAAGGCTTCATTTATTTACTCGTTTGTCTTTATTTCGACAAAAAGCAGTTCGCTTTTTAGCAGAAGCTGCAGCTTCTGCTGTCCCGGCCTCCCCGAGGACTCGCCTGAAGCGCCCAGCGGTGCTGCGGGGCAGAGCCGCACCAATCGCCGCGGCGGGAGCGTCCCGCAGCTGGGGAGAGAGGAAAAAAAAGCAGCATTCGAAGCGAAAAGAAGCCGCTGGAGATGCCGGGGATTGAACCCGGGACCTCACACATGCGAAGCGCGCGCTCTACCACTGAGCTACATCCCCGGCTATGGGGAAATTCCTGCGGGGCGCTATGAGAGGGTCGGCCGCTGCGCGGGGGCCGAACCCAGCCGGGAGCAGCGCACTGCGGCCAGCTCAGCCCCTCGAGCCGGCCCCGCTCGCCCCTCCCTGTGCCTGGGCTTCCTGGCACAGCCCCGCCGCCCCGCTCCGTGCCCACGCCCCGAGGGCCGGCCGCCCTCCGACTGCTGGTGCCCCGCGGAGGCTCCCGACGGGTGCTGTCCTCCGGGATCCGGGCTGTTGGCCAAAACGTTCCGCTGTTTGCTGGGCGGTGCGTTCCGACCGGCTCCCCTTCGTGCTGCCTGCAGTGGTCCCGTGTGTTAGTGCATCTCTGTCAGCATGTCTTGTCTCGGACTTCCCATACAGGGTGCTCCGTCACCCTTACCTGAGAGTTGTTCTGCCACATGTTAGTATGACGCTTCCTATGTCCAAGTTTTAGGCCATTGCTCCTTGTCCTGTCGCTACACACCACCAAGAAGAGCCTGGCCTCATCCTTTTGCCTCCCACCTCCCTTTAGATATTCATTAACATTAACCAGATCCCATCTCAGCCTCCTTTGCCCCAGGCTGAACAGCCCCAGGTCTCTGAGCCTTTCCTCACAAGGAAGATGCTCCAGGCCTTCCGTCGTCTTTGTGGCCCTCCGCTGGACTCCTTCCAGGAGATCCCTGTCTTTTCCCCCACGTTACACAAAGAAGATCTGATGTGCAGTTGGTATTAAAGCAAAGCAACGTCTCTACTGTAGCTAGATCTAAATATCCTCCAGAGCACCACCCACCAAATGCAACATCAATCGAATTATTCAGGAAAGGCTCGACGTGAGCATCCTACACGAGGAAATAAGACGCCTTGCGCTGAGCTATAAAGTAAAACAGAAGGAGTCCTTTATGGACGTGAATCTCCTCAAGCCTACCAGCACTGCCAGCAGTGCCCCCGCACACAGCCCTGCCTGCTGACAGCTGCCTGCAGCCCCTGCTTCCAGGAAACACTTGGTCATCCCGTGCGGTTTCTAATTCTGCTGGGTGCCCTGGCACAGGCCCAGCATTCAGCTCTCTCAAGGGCCCTCTCATAGCACTACATTCACCTCTTTGTGTTTGGGTTTCTTTGCTGACATCAGGGAAAAACAATGTCGCCGTTCTCAGCCATCCCTCCGCTCGCTCCTCAGTGGCATTAACTCGTTCCTGTAGCCCAGTGCCATGTGTGGCAGGATCTGCCTCCTCCCGCAGGATCCCATTTCATTGCATCTGTTTGCAATTCTGCATTTTCCATCAGTCCCTGTTAGACACACATTGACATTCACTCTGTATTTCCTGCAGCCATTTTTCCCCTGATGGAGCTGATGGACCCCTCTGATTCAGCCCAAAAAATGCTCAGTTCCAAAGTTACCTCAAGCTCAGGCTGCTCGAGTGACTGCAACACAACTGTGGGAGAGGGGCGGTTCTTTCTGGTGCAGTTCCCAATGACTGCGCTTGCTCCCAGGATCAAATGTTTGCACTCAGAAGACCTTTTTAAAATAGACACATTGGTTCAGTGAAAGACAGGGCTGAAATGCAGCAGCATAAGACAAACAAACGAACGGTGCTCATCTCATCGGTGCTGTTTGCCATCCCCATCCATTGCCCCATACCACTGCAGACTGGCCAGGCCCAAACAAGCTCTGAGGACGTGCCTTCCTCCCGTATGCCTGGGAACCAAAGCACTGTGTGCACTGCCTCCTGGAAGCCTTGAGCTACTGCTAGATGCTGTGCTACCGGCACCAGGCATTGATAAATATGCAGCTAACGTTATTTTTCTTCTACCATATGATCACACTGTCCACTCGTTTTCAAGCACTCGGGTGATTATTCACGGATCTCTTGCATTATTGATGCCTTATTTAGCATTCCTGTCCTCCTGCAGAAAACACTCCGTCAGAGATCAGAAAGATGTAACCGAAGTGACAAATTTCAGGGCCCAGGAACACTGCCTGCGTACTTATGGCACTCACCAAACCATCTTTCGATAATAAATGTGTTGGCAAAAATAAATGAGGACAGATTTGTGATTTGCTGTTAAACAGCTACAAAATTTTCCAACTTTTGCACTTAGCAAATAGTTCCTACCTGATCAGAGAACGCAGTGCTCAGAGCTGCACTCAGGCAGTTCTGCATGTGTGCTAGGCTGGCTTTCAATGAAGTCGCACTCATCACTCCTCCGAATACAAATCACTTTTTCTCCTTTATTTTTATAGCTTTTCTTTTTGTTAAGTCCCTTATTTGTTGCGGTGGACTGCCTGAAATAGAGGAATTCCATTTCAGCTCTGTTGTTGGTCTCCAGGCATTCAGTATGTGCCACAGAATCTACGTGCTCACCTGGCTTTGGTTATTCACACTGAATAGCAGGAACTATGAAAGTTAGAGTGGAAAAAAGGAGATTAAAAGGCAGAAAATGGGATTAAAGCTGCGAGCTGGGAGATTCATTGGGGTTGTAGACAGAGAAGTGATAGCGCCACAGAAATTATTTGGCTGACAAATTAATTACCCAGTGTTACAGTGGTTTTCTCATCCGAATTCAGCCCTTCAGCGAGAGGAACCTCAGCTGTTCTTCAGTATAGTCAGAGGGGGACGTGAGCAGTCCAGGATCTGAAGCAAACAGGAACTGGTTGTAAAGCTCAGACGGATGGGCTGCACCAAGCACACACCTTTGCACAGATTATCAAGCTGATGCTTCCAGACAGCTAAAGGCTGCTCCAGCTCACAGTGCTGCCCGTGAGGCTGGGACAGAGGCTGCTCTGTCAGCCAGCGTGGCACAGCCCTTCATGTTCTGTGCAGGGAATGTCCAACTACAACACCCTGGAAAATACCACAGCCCTGCAAAAGTGCACTGCTGCTGTTATGGTTGAGCACTGACCCCTTCTAGGAGCCTTCTCACTCCATGACCGCAGTTCTCGCTCTGTCCCAGCATGCAGAAGCAGAACATGGAAGAAAGAAAAGAAAAAGTATTTGTTTCGGTTTGTTTAATAAGTGTCATGTTTTTAAGGAGGAGATAGCCTGAATTTCTTCTTGGAACTAGAGTTCTTTGTTGTTCCTGGAGGTTTGGAAATTTAGATATGTGTCTCCATTGAATCCCATCACCTTCTGCTGGTAAGTAGCACACAACCCGCTCACACAGCCAACCTGAGCCACGATATCATTACAAGCATTAGCTAAGGCCTTTTCTGGTGATCTGGCATTGCACAGCAAGAAGGCAAAGCTCCTGTTCATCATCTGAGGTCAAACATCACTCGGAGTTCAGACGGCTGCAGAGCTCTGCAGCTTCCTGCGCTCCATGGTCGCAGCATGGGAATCTCTTGCTTTGCTCTTCCTCCTGTTCTTCAGCTTGTGCCTGGAATCCAGAACAGAATTACTGCTATTATTATGGCTTTCAGAAAAAAGTGGAGGAGGTAAATATCTTGGGAGTAAATCGCTTTTAAAATTGAGGTGTGTAGGTCTTTAAGCTCATAAAATCGTGCAGTCAAACTGACCTGGAGATGTAGCCTCGTATTAACAACGCTCCTTTTGCACTTCATAATGATTGTTCATCACTGCTGATTGCAGCAGCCAACAATTTCTTCGGCGTGTGATGCTGACTTTAAATATCACTAAAAGCTTTGATTCCTGCATGGATAGAAAATGATGCTCAGCTGACGGTGGGTCTCTGCCCCACACCCCTCTCTGCTCTCCCATCCCACTGCCAGGCAGCTAGAGTGCAGCACGGGACCCTAAAAATAACTGCAGAAAAGCAACATCCACTGGCAGACAAGGAGCTGCTGATTGAACTGAGCAAAGCAGAAGTCTCGTTGGCAGTGGATGTGAGGAGCAGGGATGTGAGAGTGAGAGCTGCTGGGACGGAGCTGACTGCTGCTGCCAAGTGAGCACGCTGCCATCGGGGATGGGGTGCATTGGGCTGCTGTTAATCCCATGGCAGAGCAGTGTGTCAAAGCAGTTCCCTGAAGTTACGTTCCCCGTCCCGGTGTGATGCTAAAATGACACAGAAAGTTGTAACAGAAAAAAATATTGAGACCTCGAAGTCAGACAAGAAGGAGTATTTTTCACTTCAGAGCTCCAATGAGATAAATTAGCAATAATAGCGAGATCTGAAAGCAGCATCTCATAGCTCTGAAATGCAGGCACCCGCTACAAAAAGGCCTTAGGAAGGATGGAGTGCACAGACCAGCTCTGCTCAGGAGCTGCCACGTTCAACCCAGCACATAGCCCGGGTTTGGCTGCTGGGTCTCCCTGCAGCAATGGAAAGGAGCTGCCACAGCGACACCCAGCCCTGCACCAGGACAGCCAAAAAGCAGCCATGCCTCGTGCACAGCGCTGTGGGACCCTCCATGAGGAGGGAGACCTGCAGGACACACAGCCCAGGCTGCAGGTGGTGGTCATCAGGTGTGGGCTTTGCTGCTCTTTGAGGACGGCTAATTGTGTTTTACTCGGTAATCAGAGGCTCTTACGGCAATTTTCCCCCTTCATCTTACCTTCCCAGACTCACCTGATTTAGATGCCACTCGTAATTAAGCACGCTATTAATAACAGCACTTGACTCAGGCCTCGAGCTGAAGGTATTTTCCAATTTTCCTCTGATTCCTTCATCAAAGTGACTCCCAGGAGCTGATGGGTGCACAGACAACAGAGGAGGGCAGCCCTGTATATGCCAAACACTGACAAGGTCTCAACAAAAACGCTCTGATCCCATCCACAGTCACTCCCTGTGCCTTTTCCCTTCGCACCATTCTGCACCCTGCATCCCTCCCCTCCAAAATCCACGTTTTTGGCTGTGCTGCTGGCAGAGCCCTGTGGCATCCCCCATCCCTGCAATGATGCTGTATGATGGGGGCAGGTGCTTTCTTCTGTGAGTGTTTTTTAGATAGCAGCATATCCAGTCTTCACCATCGATACATTAATAGGAACCTGGTCCATGGACTTGCCACTGGGAGGTATGGATAATTTAATAGGGATTTGACTAATGGAAGAATCGATTCATTTTATTTTCAATGCTATCTTGGATTGGAATGCTGTGCTCTGCAAACTAATATATTTCTTCCTGCTTATCCCATCAATACGGGCTGATTTTGCTGGCTGTTGCATGGACCAAGCGAGTAAAAATGCAATCTAGATTTTTTACAATGCTTTTTATAATTAAAGTTCTGCCATCCAAAAAAAACCCAACTTCTTTTCACCTGCTAGTAAGTCACAGCGTCCCATTTTCACTTCAGTTTTGAGCTATGATTTTCATATTGAAGAACCAGAGCCCATTCAGTTAGACCTGCAGAAAGACAAACGCCACCAGCCTGCCCCTGTCCCACATGCAGGCCTTGTGGGCAGAATCCATCACTGGGGAGGGCTGGGGCTGCTCTCAGTGCTGGGGCAGAGCGGAATCAGTGCAAACCAGCTCCCTATGGCAGCCTTTAAAAGCGATAAAGGAGCTCCATTTGCAGCTTGGACTTCCTTTTTTTCCGAAGCATTGGAAATAATTAACTTCATATATAGCTCCTTCATACCCCATGCTAGAATCAGGAGGTCTAAAAAGCAAAATGATATTTTAATAGCGGCGTTCATAATTACAAACACCATTCTCCACACCAGCACTGTTTTCAATTAGCGAGCTGTGTGGATGGCTCTGCTCTCCCTGCCCTGTGCCTCCAACAGATGCTGCAGGCACACAGATGAGGAGCTGCACTCTCACTGCTGCACAGCTCCTCGGTGCCTGTGCCACCATCCACAGCAGCTCAGTGGTTCAGTGCAGGTCCCAGGGACCTCGTGAAAAGTACCCCCAAACTGTGGGAAGGGGCTCGCTTAAGGAAAGAAGTTAATTACACCAGATTTCTGTGGGTGTTGGCAGTTAATACTCATAACGCAGGGAAAAAAAAAAAAAAGAAAGAAAAAAAACCCAACAATGTGTAATTGTGCTATTTTAGAGCACTTGTGACATAAACACATCCCCCAAGTGCTGTTATTCTTGGTTTCCCAGGGCTGCAGAACAGCGGGCGGCTGTCAGCGTGCACCGCAGCCCCACATCCCGTGTGCCAAGCAGGCCTGAGGGATGGGAACACAGGGCAGCAGGCAGCTGGGCTGGGACACGAGGTGTGGGGATCTCACTGGCTGCTGGCTCTGTCCCCAGGCTGCCTGGGAACCCAGCTTGGTGGTGCCTAAATGCACCGAGCAGCTCAGTCGGGGTCTGCACGCAGCTCCGTGGCCTGCACACGTCAATGTGGGGAGAGAAGAGCCATTGCACTGCTGTGTGCTACTGGAAGCAAAGTAAGTTGTAGAGCTGAGCGCTGCAGCTGTCACTTCGGTGTCTCCTGCTGCATAGCTGGGCAGGCATTCAGTGCCAACAGCAGTGTGGGAGCCGGGATGCAGCAGCAGGGAGCTGTGTGAGTCCCTGCAGTGCAGTCACCACTTCGGGCATTTCCAACCCTTTCAGGAAGTCTCTGCCACGATAAAAACCCAAACTACGTATGTGCTATAGCAGGGACGTGGGCGGCTGTTCCAGCACACAGACGCGTGCTTTATGTAAGAAAACTCCCCGGGCCCCCCAGCCCGCCGACTTTCCGGAGGACGCGAACCGGAGCCGCGCCGCCGCCGCTGCCTGCGGGGATCGCCGCGGAGCTCCGCTCCCGACGCGCCCCGCGGGGCCGCGCCGCCCCCCTCCCCCCGGCCGTGTTGCTCCCTCCGTCGGGAAGCAGCGCTCGGTTCGGGCGGAGCGTCCCGCACAGCTGCATTTCTGGGAGTGCAGATGTTGCTAACGGCAGCTTAAGGCACGGATGGGCAGAGAGCAGATGGGCTGCGGCGGTGCCATATGGGCCGTTTAGCCTCTCGACCCGACGGGTATCAATCACGCGCGTCCCGGGGACGGCGGAGCGGCTCCGAGCGGCTGAGGAGCACCGGGGATCACCGCCAGCCCTCGGACCGGGCGGCGGGGGATGCGAACGGACCGCGCTGCCGTGCCGAGAGAGCAGAGCCGGCAGTCAGCACCGAACCGCCCGTGTGAGGGCCGGGCCCCGACAGCTGCCGAGCAGGCAGCCCCACGGCTTCTCGTCCTGAAATACGGAAAACGGCGTTATGGAGCCCGGAATAACCGGATAGCAGTGAGAACAGAACCGCGTGGCTGTGGGAAGCAGTCAGGGTGGTGTCAGGGGAGGGTCCGGGCAGGGAAGGACAAATGATGCTCGTTCAGAAACGTAGGGAAGTTTGAGGGCAGGGCTCCTCGTGCAAATCAGTGCGGAATGAGGCACCCAAGTTCGGGTTCCCCACCCCCGATGTTGTGCCACACTTGGGCCCAGCAGCTACCAGCACCACTGGGCTCCTGTGCTCCTTCAGCTCCTGCACCGCAATGCTCTTTTGGGCCTGGGGAGTTCACGGATTCATAGAATGGCCTGTGTTGAAAAGGAGCACAATGCTCATCCAGTTCCAACCCCCTGCTGTGTGCAGGTTGCCAACCAGCAGCCCAGGCTGCCCAGAGCCACATCCAGCCTGGCCTTGAATGCCTGCAGGGATGGGGAACGTTTGCCCCTTGCTGTATCGCACGCAGCAATCCCATCCATCTCTGTGCTCCGATCAAACACACAACCACTGGGCCAGGCCTCCACACGGGTATTCTCCAAAACGCAGCCCTGGCACTGCTGTGATGCACTCATCCCGGTGGGCTGCACACCAGCACTGGCTGGCAGCAGGTGACGCCCTTTGGGGTCACGGCATTTTGGCTTTGCAGAGTTTGCAGGTTTAGCCCTTCCGTGTCTGAGCAGAACAGCTCAGCACTGCATCTCTGCAACCACCCGTGGGAGTGGCGATGGCACAGGGCTGCACACACAGCATGTGCACACATGGATGCCCGTGTGTGCTGTGCCCATGCGTGCCCACGTGTCCCCAGGCAGCCCAGCTGCAGCCCTCACACTGGGTACACTGGGCACTGGGTTACACACTGGGCAGAGCAGCAGAGAAACAGGGACTAACAGCACTTTGTGTCTGATGCTTTGGGGGAAGAGCGACGCTTTTTAATTAAACGTCTCCTTTGTGCTCTCGTATTTAGGTACCGAAATACGGCATTTCGCCACATGTATGAAATTGTGTTTGCATTTATTTAATTTGGAGTCCTTTTTTAAAGGCATGGAGTCTCGAATGTTTGTTCTCCGTTTTTTTCACATCATTACTCTGATACTGCTTGATTAGCTCCCTCCCCAGTCATGATTGGTAATTAAAATAGGCATTAAAATTAGTCACTTAGCAATTTTGCTGTTCAATTGGCAATTAAATTACTTAATTGCAATTAAAGTCCTAATTTTAATTGGCAAAATGATAGATGTAGATTTAAGATAATATGTATAAATACTTTAATAAGTGTCTATATAAGGATTACTTAATTACTCAACTTCAAGTTTATGCTGTTAACTTCAGAACTTTTAAGTGAGTAATGAAATTTATATCACATCTATTCTAAGGATATGGTAATGAGGTGCATCTCTGGGCCCTGAGCAGGGTTTGCTCCACGCAGGTCGGATGGCAGCGCTGTGCTGCACGGCACCGCGTGCTGCTGTGCTGTTATGGGCTCTTTTTTCTCATCTTCATCAGCTCGTAGAATCACAGAACCACACAACTGTGGAATCAGAAGGGTTGGAGAAGACCTCTAGGATCCCCAACTCACCTCCCCATGCCCACTACCCACATCTCTCAGAGCCACATCCCCACGGCTCTGGGACACCCCCAGAGTTGGTGACTCCCACTCCATGGGCAGCTGAGCCACCGCCTGGCTGCTCTTTGCAGAAGGAATGCTTCCTAACACCCAACGTGACCCCGGCACAACGTGAGGCCGTCCCATCCCGTCCTATCGCTGCTGCCTGGCGCAGAGGGACAACCTCCTTTTGGAGAGCGCGCCTTCTCCCAGCCCTCGGGAAAAGCCTTTGGGCTGCAGACACGGGCTGAGCCGCTCAGGGCCCTATGGGAGAGCACCCGCCAGACGTACGGCATCACCGGGCACGTGCCTTCTCTCTGCTGCACGAAGCGATCGCATCTCTGGTTGTCGTTGTATTTTTCCCCCCAAGTCCCGTTCATTTCCAGCCGAGGCCGCTCCCCGCCCTCAACCTGGGCACCCCGTGCCTCGTGCCGGGCCGCTCCGCGGTTCCCCCGCCCCTCCCGTCCCGCGGTCCGGTCCCGTCGGAGCTCAGGCTATTTCGGGCGCTTTTGGCGCGCCGCGCGGTTGCGTCAATGGCGGCGCCGCTGCGTCACGGCCGCCCCGCCCCGCCCCGCCCCGCCCCGCGCTCACTTTTTCCCTTTCGCCCGCGGGTGACGCCGCCGCGCTCCATGCAAATGAGGCGGCGCTCATGCAAATGAGGCCCCGCCCCTCCCCGCCCCGCTTAAGGTGCCGTCGCCGACGGGGCGGGCGGGGATCCCCGGGCGCGCCCCCGCGGCCCGCCCCGCCCAGAATCTGGCGGGGGAGCTCCGCGGCGGGCACGCGGAGCGCCGGGCACGGCGGCGGAGGCCGCGCACCCCGAGCGAGGCACGGCGCGCCCCGCGCGGAACCACCGACGGCGGCCACGGGGAGAGGGGCGGGGAGCGGGGGGCGGCCGCGGGGCGACGCGGGGCGACGCGGGGCGGCCCGAGCCCACCTTAAACCGTGACTCGCGGTGATGTCACGTCGGAAATTTACCAAAGCGAGCGCTGGCCAACGGCGCGGGGCGGCCGGCCCCGGCGGGCTGATTGGGCGGGCGGCGCTGACGCGCGGTGACGCT